GCGTCTGAGCTCACAGCAGCCCGATCCCACCGCCCCCAGAACCCTGGTCACCACAGCCCCGGCAGCCAGGCGACGACCCCGGGACACGGGGAGGAGGGAGGGCGCGCAGCTCACCTGTCTCCTCCTCGCGGAAGTCGGGGCTCGGGCCGGTGGGCGTGCAGGTGCACTCCAGGTGCTCCTCCAGTCGCACCTGCACTTCTTTTAACTTTGGCTTCTTCCTGATGTACTCCACCTTGGCCACCTGCAGAGACAGACCCTGCGTGAGCCGGAGGGAGCCTCTCTTTCCACCTCCGACCTCCGACCTCTGACCTCAACACTCCTCCCAGCGGGAAGGCGGGAGTTAAAACAAGCTTCCGACAGCGTTTGTGGTCTGGTCCTCTTTTACCTTAAAACAAATCTCACAGCCCTGGCTGGGTTGGCTCAGTGGATAGAGCAGCGGTTCTCAACCTGTGGGTCGCGACCCCTTTGGGGGTCGAAGGACCCTTTCACGGGGTCACCTAAGACCATCGGAAAACACATCTATAATTACATATTGTTTTTGTGATGAATCACTATGCTTTAATGATGTTCACTTTGTAACAATGAAAATACATCCTGCATATCAGATATTTACATTACAATTCATAACAGTAGCAAAATTACAGTTATGAAGTAGCAATGAAAATAATTTTATGGATGGATTGCAGGCTCAGTCCCCAGTAGTGGGCATACAGGAGGCAGCCAATCAATGATTCTCTCTCATTATTGATGGTTCTCTCTCTCTCCCTCTCTGAAATCAATAAAAATATATTTAAAAAACAAAACCCACAGCGGCCAGTAGGTCTGAAGGATGTGCTTCAAGGTGGGAGCTGGGGTGGGGGGCGATAGGGGCGGGGAGAGTGGTGGTGAGGGAAGGTGTCTGATTCCGTGTTTTAGGCGCATCTGGGGCAAAGGGCAACGCTCCCCAACGTGTCCCTGGTTATTATGGGGGGAGTCTTGGCCAAGCAGGGCCTCTTGCTCCCGGGCCTCCCCCAGTTTCCAGTGTGGGGCTGACTCTGGGACCCCGCTCAGCCGAGACCCCGAGACCCCCAGACTCCTGGACATAATGGGGCAAGGCGTTCTCCATCACGGGGGGTGAGTGGGAGGTAGACATTCCAGAAACACCTCCTGCCAGTCCCCTGGCAAAGGGCACACGACACTGGCCGCTCCCCATGCCCGTGTTTGTCCGAGAGAAACAAGCAGCGACTTACGACGCACCTGCTTCCGGGCCTGCTTGGGGGCCGGGCCTGCCCCTGTCCAGGCA